CGATGCTTTGCAGAACTAAACAATTTTCTAATAGAAAATGAATTGATTAGATGACGGTGTTAAAAGTTATACAATGGAGCTTCTTTTCCAGTTAAAGAAAACTATAAGAGAATATTTCTCAGACGGAAAAACATAAGCATGATTTTATAAAAAACTCCGTTTGAGTACTAAGATGAATCAGAATGCTTGCCATTGAAGGAAAAAGAACAACTTACATATCAACAGGCTCAGATTTAAAATATAAATTTAAGCAATAGCAGATCCAACATTTTCGGTTGTAGATTCATGCAGAATACCTAGAAATTTCTTGCATTGCTATAAGCATTTTAATGCCATTCGGGACAACGGATTCAAGTCTTTCTGAACATATGTGCCAACACTAACCAAATATAGAAGCAAATTAAATACAGAATATGAAACGCGACTGCAGGTAACATCAACAGAGCTATACTTGGACAATTTGTGTAAAAAAAAGCAAGCACATTCCTGACACTAGAATAATACTATCGTAGGTGATACCTGGAACAAGAGCTAACGCTATAATGAATAAACTGCTTTAGTCTTATGTTATAATTTTTTAATAAAAATGCAATATTTTTCTTTAATTGTCTTTAGGTAAAGTACCTATATTGATCTACTTTAAATATAAATTTTTGTAAAGGTAGGATGGGGCTACACGAAAACAACCTTACAGTTCTAAAGATTCTGCGAGTCGACAAAGTTTGAAGAACACTGGTTCAAACATACGCCGTGTACCATAACAGCTAAACTCCAGATCCTTTATAAAGCTTCTGTTGCTCATTTCCTTAACCATCCTTTGTAAACTTTTGTAAAGCTTGCAATTTAATTTTTTTAATTTAAATTTTATTTTTATTTTTTAATGTTTTTAGTGTTAGTGTGGAAAGACCCATGTAGATCGCCGGTGTTCCCCATACATTTACCTTTACCTGTAGGCATACGCGAATTTTTGTGACCACATTAATGAAATTTTGCATATATAGCTATGTGAATTCAAAATAACAGTTTCCGTCTGTGGGTGAACATAAGTTTGTGATTCCAAAGGATGAATATAGGCGTTTGTGTATTCATGTTAAATGAAATAGAAGTTTACTTTTTTATAAGCATACTAAGTCATCCTAAAAGCAAATTTTACCATGCATCAAAGGCACTTTTCAATGTGTATTTGGCACAGGGAAAAATGTTTTGTTCTGATTTTAACCCCTTCTTTACACAGTTAAAATAGCAAGTTGAAAGAATGGATAAAAATAAATTGTAGTGAAAATAAGCATTGAAATAATGTAAAATTATCTAATAATAAATTAGTTTAAAACTTACATAAATTGTTCTAAATTCCTCCCTTAAAACATTGCTGCATTTTAGAACTAGTAATATAGCTAACCAACTCTAAGATTCCTTCTAGACGATGCTGATCCACAATTCCACATGATTGTGGTCTTTCGTAGAAGTGGTATTCTTAGAGAAATGGTTTTAAATACCAATTAGGTTTATGTTCTCAGAAACAATGGTCACCTTTAGAGTTCTAACCTTAGTAATGTATTGACCACGAAAGAATTGTGACTTATTTCTCTTGCTAAGGTTTGGATCGAAACAAAAATTTCTGCTTTTGTTTATAATCACCATTTTTTAGCATGGAACTAAATAAAAGAATTGAAAACCAAGTGAAATTTTATCGCTTTCTCAGCAGTTTGAAGACATGATAACAATTAGGTAAGAAAATAATTATGTATTTCTCCAGTAGTATAAACGTTTTCTGTTTTACATCAGTTGTTGCTTCTGTTGTGATAGGTTTTCCAAAATAAAAAGTGAATTAAATTCCAAATTATTGCATACATATGTATACTGCTAAAAAAAAAGAAAAAGAAAAAGAAAAGAAACGACCGTTCTATATCTTCCTTTCTACTAGGCCGATTGGCGAAATTCAACTTGCGTTTTTCATGTCTCGAAAGAGCGACTTAGGATACATATTAGATTTATATATAGGATTTTGACACAAAATCTGACTTTTTCTGAAATGACATGCCAATTTTTTTTCCATGTTTCGATTCTACGACTCAAATTATGCAAAACTCTTTTTTTTATCAAACTTATTTGATTCTTCCTTTCGAATTTCGAAATTTAGGTTCATTCCAAATAAAATTCGGCCATTTTTTATGATTTATTTATGTATTTTTAAGTAATTTTTCAAAAATTTTCGAAAATTATATCTTATAATCTATAAAATTTTTATTATGATCTTAAAGTAGATGCATTTCTAAACATAACTGAAAAAAAATTAGAGTTTTTTATTCAAAATTTCCGAAGATATACGTAAATTTATATATTGGCGCGTTTTGAAATTTGACATAGTTGTTGAAAGCGATGATAACATCAAATGGGGTTTAGGCACTTTTTTAAATTATTTGAAAGTAGGAATGATGAGACTTTTTTCCCGCTCTTGCACAATGTACAAAAGGAAAGGAAAATAGATTGCCGTATATTAAGAAGTTTGCCAGGTGAATTATTCTTGGTGCAAAGTTAAAAAAAATGCGCCTAGATAAACTTCTGAATTTCTCCTTAAATGTCGCACTAAATTTTAAAAATTTTAATATTAGGCATAATTTGAAAGAAACGAAATAGGGAAAGAATTTGGCATGTCATTTCAGAAGAAAGGCCGATTTTTGTGTGAAAATACCCATATTACAATAATGCCATATTTAAATCTAATATATATCCTATTCGCGCTTTCGAAACATGAAAAATGCAATTTGAATTTCGTCAATCGGCCCAATAGATAGGAAGATATAGAACTGTCCCCTTTTTTTTTTTTTTTTTTTTTTTTTTCTGCAGTGTACATATGCATATGTAAAGAAAGATGGAAAGCATTATATTCATATTCTGTAGATTAAGTACATTTACATGTTCACAGATATAAAATTTAAAAAATAAATGAAAAAAGGGAAATTCTCAAAGGCAAAATATTAGATCCGTGTACTTGGAAATTGCATTTTAACTTCTGAAAATATTTGACATTGAATTTATTTGATATAAAAATTATGAGCGAATTAAATTATTTTTTAATCATTGTAGAGAATATATTCTGCGAGGAAAAGCATGTCTGGGGAAGGAATTGAGTTATAATAAATTTTCGAACAATATGAATAAGTTTGTAAGGAAGTATTGCATTTTGCCATGTGCGCTCTCATGATTAAGTTGTCATTTACACCACCTTATGTGCAGTACATTTTGTCTATCTTGATAAAGTTATTAAAATTAAAGTGTCAATCCTCATCCTAAATATGTACAATTTTTAAATGCGTGTTCGATTCTCATCATGAGCATGAGCCTTTATTAAATAAAATATGTATAAATGTTTGCTAAGTAAACTTTTCCCTAATCTAAGTGACCATAGCACTTTGATTAAATAAACTACATGCTTGCTAAGTAAAACTTTCCATGATCTGACCTTTCGTTTAACTTTTAATTTTATATTTATTTTTTCCTGTTCTGTAAATACCCTATTCTTCAGGTACATGTAGAGAAACACAAGGAAGGAAAAGGGGGGAGAGTACAGACTATGAGGAAAATAAGATAAATATATCTTACTTTTAAATAATAAAGTAACTAGCATGTAAAGCAATTATCAGAACTATTAGCACTTTAAACCCTACGAAAATTTTAAATTAAGGAGTAAAATGCATTCAGTAAAAGCATCTTCTAAAAAATTGGCCTCTTAAGTATTTCGTTATATTTCTACCTATCTGCAATAAATGGGTGATTAGTTTAGATCAATAAGTGTACTATTGTGTAGTAACTATATTATTATATAATAATGCAGTAGTTATGTTATCATATAACTACTATATACTACCTTTCTTGTGTTGGTTATATTATCATATAACTACTACAATGAAAACTACTCGAAACTCCAACAAAAAAATTTAAGAAAAGAATAGAGAGAGAAGGCATTTAGGAAATACGTTATATGTTTCTGAAATAGTTTATTTCAGAAACATAGAAAGAATATACATGCAAAAATATTACAGAAAACGTCTCTAGTGTATATCAAAAAGAAGGAACAAATAAAAATTTGGACTTGTGTAAAACACATGTAGAACGTACGTCTGCTACATTGTTATATATGTTCAAGACACAAAATGGGAGAATTTATTCGTTTTCTTATATAAATACCAATTTTTTGGTCCTATCCTCTTTTCTATTTATAGGCATGGGGAAAGCAGGAAACTCATTTTGCATTTAGAATTCATTATTATGTAATAAACGTGTCTTCGGTCTCTACTTTTGAAATCTTTGATATAAATAAAAATTTTACTTTAAAAGGAAATGACACATTAATATGTTTCATCCTTTCTGCCATCATAAAAGTAAGTGCACAGTACCAAATAATATGAAAATTTAGAACTTTATAATTAAAAGTACATGTCTTAATAAGAATATTTATAAAAAGCAGTACTTTTTAACTTTAAAGGTAGCGTGGTTTGTCCTTTAAGCCTCTTAAGAATGCATACATAGGGGCATAAATTAAGAAATTTCTGCAATTTTAATCATTTAAAACTGTTAAAATAGTTTATGATGGAAATTCCATTGGGAACTATTTTATTTGCCTGCATTGTATATGCTTACGAATCATTAAGAAAACGTCAAATAATTTAAATTATTAAATTATAAAACAAACAGTTAAGAGAACAGCTGCTGTGATTCTAGGCACAGAGCAGTTTAAGAGGAGCAGAACCATTTAAAATTTAAAATTCGGAAACATACAGATGGTTTACTTTTTTTAAAACAAGCAACGCCCTAGAACCTGATACAGTTTTATTTAAAGTCTACTTCAATCTAAGTTTTTTTACCTAGTTTTAAGTAGAAAACTGTAGTTTCTGTACTTCTAACGTTAAAAGCATTATTCTTTAGTTATAGAACATTCACATCCTTTCTAAGATTATGTTACTCTGAACTTTCAGTTACTAAACTGACTTCTCTTGTAGGTTCTTCTTTTGATGACTTTAAAGAAAATGTGGGATTAAGCCTAGGAGCCATCGTCAGTATCCCAATAGTAGGCGTCATTTTCGTCTGTTGTTGCTGCTATTGGTGCTGCAGGTGCTGTTGTGATTCATGCCGAGATGATACTCCAAATGTTATTGTTATGAACTCCAACGAAACCCACGCTGCTCCTCCTCCACAAATTATTGTGCAACCTTTTGCTGTGCAACCACATTTTCAACAAATCCCGCAAACTCAGTATGGTCCTCAACCACCGTACGCACCGCCGCCTGGTTATTCTGAATTTTCAAATCCTTCGAATTACAAATATTAATATTGTATAGTCATTATGTTAAAATCTCTGTTGTGGAACATTATTCTGTTGCAGATTATGATAAATAAAAATCGAACGATTAAATCAGAGACCTCCCAACTTTTTTCAGACCCCCGCTTCCGTTAAGTTTTAGTATACCCATAGCTCTCATCTTTCCCATAGAACTGTTTTTAAAGTATTTTGTTATATATCTAAACTAATGGGATTAAATGCTTTAATCTAGAGTGTTATACAGTATAATGGTAAAGAGATGTATTAAGACAACATTTCTTGGAAAAAGCTATTAAACATATTTAATGAGTGAGAAATTGGATTAGTAAAGTTAATTAGTTAGCACTAAGTTTTACCAAAATTAATCACACTCAAATCTCAAATTTTGCAGTTTTCCTTCCCCCCCCTTAAAATTATAAATTTATTGAAAAAATACCTCATATAAATGTATACATGCAAAAGTACTTTTCCTGTCAATTTTTTTCCTAGCATATTCCTTCGATATGCAAGTGTTCTTTTTTTTTTTTTTTTTTTTTTTGGTTATATAAATATTACTTAAGAGGCTGTAACCTGTATCCTCAGTCAAACAAATTTGCATTACATAATTTAATGAAGCCATTGGAAATATAATATTCTTAAATTGACAGCTGTAGATGATAACTGAAACTTAAGAGGTGAGAGTAAAAAATTAAAAAAACGAATAGTTAAACAAAGAAATTAAAATAATACGACATAAAACTAGGCGTTTTTTTAATAAATTTTACGACATAAATTTATCTTCACTATAATTTTTACGTGTATAAGGAATTGAGGAATAATAAAAATCTGGTTTAATATTGTAAAACACGTTTTACAATATTGTAAAGCAGGTAGAACTTTATGAGAAACTTCTCAAAGCATTTCTTTTAATAATTCGTCCTTCTAACGTGTACCCAACATGAATATTTCTGTAAATAAAAATAATAAAGCAAATAAAATGGGGGCATGTATCAAATTTTATCTCATACGAATTTTAATGGAGATTTTAAAAACAGTGATATATAAATAAAAAAGATAAAAAGATAAAATATAATAGATAAAGATAAAATTCATATAGATAAAAAAGAGGTAAAGCTAAACTATTTAGTTTCAGAAAATACTTGAATGATGATTTCAAATATCGTTTACAGTTAAAATAAGTTTCAAGATATAGTTAATAGTTTAATGCACTTTATCGCATCAAAATATTTTTATCTATATTTTTTATTTCAATTCATCATTCTGTATTCAGCTAGGCACAGTGACGTAGCTAGGGTGGAGCAAGGGGGGGCATCTGTCACCAAAGCAGTATCCAATGAACTCCAAATTGATGTTAAGAAATTTTAGAAGGAAATGTTATCCATCGTGGCACACAGATAGGAATGCAAAATATTCAGCTGTAAACTCTAGCTACGACTCTGGCTAGGCACACATAACTCTTTTTTAAAAAAGTGTAGATTTTAGAAATATGTATTTAAGACATTGCCATTGGAGCAAATAATTCAAATGTTTTCTTTTAAATACACCAGAAATTACATAAAAGATATTGAACTGATTCAAAACTGATATACTATTCTAGAGGTATGGAATAAAATGAAATCTTAAGATTTATAAATGTATATAAATGAAGCATAGTTTAAATTATTTGCTTTATGAATTTAGACAATTTGTTATTGTAACAATGGACTTGAATAAATTTTTAATAAAGTATTGTGACGCGTCTGATGTTTCTTTTCTTTTTCTATATATTAAAATAATCAATCTGTGTCCCAATTTATCTTTGAACATTTTGCTTTTCGTGAAGCTGATTTGATATAGCAGTCCCTTAAAAATTAAAAGCATATCATTTTTATGAGAGCATTTTAATAAAAAATAAGGCAAAAAAGTCTGAAATCTTTCAGATTTTATATTAAGCCCAAACGGGAGATTTTTTTTCATTTATACACACATACAAGTTTCGAGAGCATTTGAGCCAACACTCCTTTGGAACAAAAATATTTGAAAAAAGCATATCTTTAGAATTTCCGACAGACAATCTCCCGCTTTGGAGATAGAAATGCTGTACTGCGTTCGGAGTAGCCATTTTTTGCTTTAAAATCATTGAGTTTTTGATGAAAACTCGTTAAAGTTTTACAAAATATGAAATAGATAATAAAAAAAAACAAATTTTAAGGTACCCATATACCATATTATTTAATTCAGGTACCCATATTCGGGTGGAGGACTACATTATTCAAATTTTGATTTCTAAATTTTATAAAGGTTTAATTCTTTCAGCTAGCAGGTCCAGCCTGTAAGTTATTGTATATTTTGACTAATAGCAGATCGCTATTTATTTTTTTCTTAATTATTGCTGTACATCGTAATTGCATTTACATCTTTTAACATTTTAATGTGTCATTTTGTGCGGACGCGTCGGGAAATTGGAACAGAGAAATGAGACTAAAAATTTTTTTAAAACAATTCATCTAATTAAATAAAAAATTTTGTAACGCAAAAGTTTCAATTGTCTGTTTCGGCGAAACGCGTGATGGAGTTAGCTTGGTTCGACGTTTAATTAGAAATTTTCCTTGAAAAGCCAGATTGGACTTCGAATTGAGCTAATTTACCATTTTCCGCTTTATATTTTTTATATTTTTTGTTTGTTTTATTTGTTTTAACTTGTTCAAGCGATTGGTTTTTTTTATATGTTTTTACTTTTCACTTATCACATCGATAGGTATTTTACTGTATTTTTTGCCATTACTAGTTTCCAACGATTAGTATTTTACATTCTATTTCGCGTGTAGCCTAATTTTTCACCCTTTAATGACATTGTTTTTTTTTTTTAAAAATGTGTTGAACTTTTTCTTGGAGCCACAGCTCCTGGTAACTTTTTGGCGAGCTCTCTACAATTTCTCATTTCCTTAAATTTGCAACATATTGCGCAAAAAATTTTTTAGACCAAATTGGTCTTTCAGTATTGTAATTACTTCCTAGCTTGTTAATTAAACTTATATTAGTCATATATGCTATATTATTATGTTATGTTTTTTGTAACAATTTTGGGATAACATGCTTCTAATAATCTCTTGAATTACCTTTCATGAACTCTGGACTATAGTTTCATCTTAAAAAGCTAATGGAAAGAAAATAACAATTCAAAAGTGTAAATGAATGCTAAATTAAGTAATTACTTTGAACATGTCGAAAAGTTTCTAGTGAAGAACATAAAATAGAAAACACAAATTAGGTTTGGTTTAGTTGATAATGGCAAAGCACAATAGGGCTATCTGCCTAGGGGAGAGATACCCTCGTGGAGGACTTTCTAAGGGGAACAACTGGCTCGTATATATGAAGAAAACTGTGAAAATACCCGTATAGCCAGCCGAAATTAGTAGGAGTCGGTTGTTTCAGTAATCGATAGACTTAAATCTTGTACATAAGAGAGTTAACAATTAAATCTCTGAAATCATAAAAGAACTCTTTGAATGACTATACCAATAGTGCAAACCAATATATACATAATACCGAACAATACCAAAGTCGAGTGAAAAGGAACCAGAAGTAACGGTTAACTACATGCAGTATAAGATATGGAATTCGGGCTACAAAGTTGGGTGCGTCCGACTCTAGGGTCAGAATTTAGATTTTTAGAGTCTCTAAGGACTTAGAAGATTACGGAGCCCCTCTCTCCCATTACAGTACAACGTCTATTTTTTCTATATTCCTTCCTTCTCGGCGTTGGTTTATCTGCACTATGTTTTCCATAATAAAACTGGCAGCGGGAATTTTTTGGTGGTGCCCCCTTTCCTTGAATTCCTAAGTACCTTTCTTAAAGCGGCACAAATCTTTGATGTCTTAAGCACTTGCTTATTTTGGTTAGTCCAGCTCTGACCGACTCATCCTTATATGCAAACCCCAGTAAACTCCCTGACAAGGGGAGCTCAGCTGTAGAAGGTGCAGCAAGCTAAGAATACTTCGGGAACTTTTCTCGAATACTAAATTAGTAGTAAATTTAACTGCGGCTAACCCTGAAAGGTTTTACTTTATTCTAACCAGTTATTTTTAGTTTGACTGTCCTGTTTCTCCTGATGCCAGTTTCCTGTCGGAACGTGTTTCAGAAGCAGTATTTAACACGTTGAGCGCGGCCCCGAATTTGCTGTCTTTTCCGTTCAGCCGGCAGCGACCTAAGCCGTAAAGCTAAGCCGTCTTTTTGTTCAGAATGTTTCAATACATTTCATTAAAACTAAATTTGATCACATTTCATTGAGACTATATTTATTTTTTAACTTTAATACTGTCGGTCCCACGGACCGAAGCCAGGCAAACGAAAATTCCAGTGCCGGTCCCCAGGGACCGACGCCGGCCACACGGAAAGTCTGTAACCCGCTCAGCGTGTTAAGCCAGTACCTCTTACATTACAGTACCTCCTACATACATGTATGTAGGAGGTACTGGTTAAGCTGCTTTGCAAGAGTTTAAAAGAGTAGTAGCGGACTTAATTCCGATGTTTATACAGCGAGTTTTAAAATTAGCTCTCTAGTTCGGTGTTCGACACCTTTCAGTTTATACTGATATTCCTCGGCTCGGCTTTGCTGTGTGCAGTCGATTTAGCGTTAAGTAAGCTAAGGAGCCAGTCATTAGATTATCTTAAATTACTATTGAATTGTGACATTCTTATTTTCTGTTACGTAGCCGCAAGTGATGGTAATTTGTGAGTACGAAGTGAGTGCATCTGTTTTAATTTAGATTTTAATAAAAAGTTTATTTAAACCTTTCATCTACAATATTTATCCTTAAAGACATAGCAAGAATTCGCTACTTTGTTTTTGACATAGGGTTTTAAGAGTGCATGCTTCCAAAAAATACGCGAAGACTCAAACGCAGTAATAAAAACTTAATTATTAAACTAAAGTATTTGAAAATTTGGATGTGTCAGTTGAAGGGTCTATTTGGAAAGGAAGAACGTAGAATAGCAATCTATAAATAAAAACTGGGTAGTCAAACTTAAAACTTTCAAAGTAGGAGATAACTTCTAGAAAAGTCGTAATAATTAAACAATTTAATACATTGAATAATAGCTCAGTAAAAATTAAAAATATCTCAAATTATTTATAGAATTGAACGTGCGTAAGACGCATAACTCGTAGAGCCTACCACAGTACTCGCAACTGGATGCGTTGGAAGAAAATACTCTTTGATCATGCTGGAATAATTGCCAATACCAATTTATGATCATGAGTTTTTGAAGAATGGAATAGCAGCTTGCAAGCTACGAATAAAAATATAAAATTCTTCTTAAAGTTTAAACTAACTTGTATGAATTTGGTATGGTAATTGGGCATAATTTGGTATGATTAATATATTTGCGTGACTGTAATATTTATGCAACAGCTTGAATGCTTAAATTTCTGTTTCAAAAGTGTTTATAAGCAATCAATTTTTCCGAGTATGTTCTTAATGCCCATTTGTTCCTCAATGTCCTTTTATTGCCATTCGGACCAGTAATAATCTTGATCTCCTCAGTGCGAGTTTACTAGAGTTCAATGGAAACAGTTAAGGTTGAAAGTCAATAAGAGAAAATAAAAGTGAGTAGAGATAACAAATTGTTTTGTTAAAACTTTAATAAAAAGTAAAATGCTTTACAATTATGATGTTAAAGTGAGGATTGTCTTCATTTTATTTTACTTTATTTGTTATGAATACTTTCATGGTAAATATATCTCAAGAAAGTCTTCATTTATTTAATGCCCAATCAAATTAAATATAATGCTGTCGAGAACTGAAAGGAATCCTACAGAATTCTACGATGAAAACAAAGAATTTAGCAATTTTGACTATTGTTAGAACCCTAATAGTAAATCCAAACCCTAAACTTAAAAACTTAACCTAAACTTCTATCTAAAAAACGTTTGAAGAAATATTCTGTGTGTTAATTTAATTTTACAATCATTGTTTTCCTTGCAGATATATTTTAAGATATAACAAAATATGATGGCTCTTTCAAAAAATAATTGGCGACATCAAAATTAACATCCTAAATTTGATGATCTGCTCCTAAATTTATCTCTTCTCACAGGTTCCAGACTTTTCTATCTTACGTAATGTTTTAATGCAGATACCTCTTGTGTAATCAAATTAACTGTAAACCAAAACTCCGAATTGAAACTTTTCGGCTTCCCAACTTTCTTCCTCTAAAGTGCTATGACACTCTTCCCTTTTCTGCATAAGCTCTCTTGCCGGCAAGACGCTTTTCATGCATGCTGCTGCCGCTTACTTGCTTAAAATGACGTTGTACTTCAAAATGAAACTTGTTTTCAAATATAATTAGGAAACATCTTATCTGCAAAAGGATGATTTGATATGTGTAAAATATATTACATATAGATATATATAGATATATATATATATCGTATATACCAATATATACCTCGTATATACCAATTCCAAAAAGGAAGGATATAAAGATTCCAGACATTTCAAAAGTGAAATTTCCAGACATTTCAAACAAAATAAAGAAAAAAGATCCATTAAATTAGGACGTGCGGTTTTTGCAATTCCTGCAGCAGCTTGTATTTGTTGTTGCTGTAAACGCTGTCGACAAAAGGATCATGAAAGAAAAGCTAACCGTCAAGGTACCAATTGTTCTCAAAATATTATATATAATGAAAATGGTTAAGCTTAAAAGGATGTAATTTTAAAAACAATGCCGGAAAATCTCACCTTTACTTAGCCTAATC